GGAAATTAATAATTGTAAAAGTTGCCAGATGGGAAAGTTAGAAGAAAATAAACAATATGCCTTTGGTATTAAAAACACAAGTTGTTCGCACTTTTAAGTCTTTGGAAATTTTGGTATATTCTTTAATATTTTAATATTTTTTTATTAGTAGCATTTTTATAAATGTTGGTGGAAGTAAGGCTCTATGATATGATATCAAACCAAACAATAGAAACAATTTATATCATAATATATTTAGCCTTTGCTACCTTACCCAAAAATCACACTTTAAATTAAGAAAAACGTAAAAAAACGAATACTTCTTAAATTAAATTTAAGAAAAGTCCAATTTAATTTGCCATTAGGCCCTGTAACTGCCAGAAAAATGGTTGAGGGTCGTAAAACCTGAGTTAAGCGAAAAACCCGCATTAAACAAAAGCCCAGCATCTATATCCGTGTCCACATCAAAATAAATATCGAGCAGCAGGACGAACAGAGTGCGGACCAGCGAACAGCATAAGATTTTGGCCCCGAATGAAAATAGAAACATTTTATTTAAAATGCTGCTGGCTAGGAATAGCCAACCACACGGTCGCCCCACTTTTCCCGCATTTCCCACATTTTCCGCTACCCTTAATTAAGGTTCGGCCTTGGGTGTGTGGCCCAAATTGGTTATTGAGCCTGTTTAAGCCATCAATTGCCATTTGGTGGGCCAAATGAATTTACGATTGCAAGAGGAGAACGCTTTTCCAGGACGAAGGACCTCTTCTCTTGTTTCCCCCCACCCTCCCCCTCCCTATTTCCTGAACTTGGCACAAACTGAAATTGATTTTCACTGCGGCAAATTTCGCTCTTGATTGTTCTGGGGGATAATTGATAAAGTTTCTCGTTGAGCTACAGGATTCTGTTGCTCAAGAGTTTCCTTTTCTTTTTTTTATTTGTCAGGGGATTGTAAAACAAATTTTTGGCCTTTGGCTTCTTCTTGGATTTCGATTTTCACTTGCCCCGATTGATTGATTACCCATACGCCAGGTGGACGCTTATTTTTAAAGGTCACTTCTAGTTTCAGTTTAAATCAGTCTACAAAATATTTTCAAGAAAATAAAGGTTTACTTGCTATTGAATTTCCAGTTAATTTAATGAAATATTAACAAATTGTTGGCCATGTCTTAAAGCAAATAAATGGTAAAATGAAAACGGCAGGTAATGTACAAATTTTAGTGTCGCCGTGAGCTTTAAGGATTGCTTTTATGGCTGGCTTCCACCTTTTATTGTGTGTGTTGACCTACAGCATCTCCCGGCGGGATAATCGCTGGCCAAGACCAAGACCATCAAGCTCATCAAGGTCACAGTAATGGTGACCCATCCCCCCCTCCCCCCAGGTCCCGTCCTTCCCCTTTTCCATTTAGTTGCTATTGATGATGCTGCTCCGGCTGGCCGCTCCGTCCCAAAGGACATCCAACATTCGGCGTGGCCAGCGCCAATGTCGAAGTTGCTCGAGAGCATTCCACTAAGAAAAAAACCTAGCCCACTTTTAAAAATTCCAAAATTAATTTAATAACACCAAAAATGTTTAATTTTAAGTAAAAGTGTGTTTTTTATTCTTTATTTTTTACATATTGTTTATGTATTTGTTCTGTGCACTAAGCATTGCACTTGCAAAAAAGTTTTACACACTTTAGAAAAATTCAAAAATAAATTTAACAAAAAGATGTTCATTTAAAGTAAGAGTGGGTTTCCTTTTCTTTATACTTTACATATATAGATTGTATCTCTTTCATTTGATACACTTTGTTTATGTACTTGTTCTGTGCAATTATCTAAGTATCTTGTAGTATTTACTTTCATTTGGCCCCGTCAACAGAGGCCAGGCAAACAAATAAATAAACAAATCAGCAAAAAGCAAATAGCAAATGGCAGAAGCGACAACTTTCTCCACTTTCTCGCCAGCATATTTGCATTTTCCGACTGGAGATGAGGAGGAGGGGAGTGGAGTTATTAAAACTTATTTCCAAGGACCCGTGCTGTGACCATTTAAATGCTAATTACATGTGATAGATGGAGGGGATGGATGTGGAGAGTGGAGGACCAACAGCAAGTGTGGAATGCAAAATGAAAATGTGCAACAAGAGGGCAGCAATTAAAATGAGGCAACCTTTTGTTGGCCAACTGCCACCCACCACCCACCACCCAGAATCCCATCCCCCCTTCAAGGACACTGCCTGGCGACAACGCGGTCGGCGTCCCAGACAGTCAGCACTTTGTTGTCGCCACAGCCACATCCACCTACCCCAACTACTCCTCCAAGTCCAACCCTCCACATTCACATCCACATCCACATCCACATCGACATCGTCATCCACATCCTCATCCTCATCCACATCCTCATCCACATCCAGCATAATGAATCCAGCTCAGCGGGCGGCAGGCCATTAAATTCGCAGTGGGAAGTGCATCCGGGAAACCCCAAAACCAATATCCATTCCGCAATCGATTTGATAGGAAATTGATGCAGCTTTTTTACGATCCCTAATGAGGATATTCAAAATGTATTACGTATTGTTGACCTCTTTTTTTTCAATGAAAGAAATATGCCACATTTATACATTACAATCGCTAATGAGGATATACGAAATTTAATACGAAATTGATTATCCTTTATTCAACAAATAAGTATATTCAATTTTTTGCAATACCTAATTCAGATTTCTTTAATGAATACGAGTAGTTTTTTAAAACCTTTTCTTTATTTTATCTTTTTTTGCTATAAATACTTATTGATTTACTTAATACTTATTGATTTACTTAAGTTTATCTTCTTTCTTAAATAATTTGTAATTTTGTGTATGTCTTTTAACTCACATTTCATTAATAATTGAGAGAAATACAGTATATGAATAGTTTATATTATAGGCATAAAATATAGGAATATTACTTCTGAAATAGTTAAATTAAAATAATATTTAAAGCATAAGTCGCATGACCACTATTTGTCCTCTAGAATATCTAATTAAACAGATGCCATTTCTGGACCACATATTCCGTTTATTTATGGCCTTGCATTGACTTGTTTTATGACCTATCCATTGATTTGCCACCCGATCTGCATATATTTCCAATTTCCAAACGAGTCTCTCAGCCATTATTCATCATCCATAATCCATCATCTGGATGGATCGGTGAGTGTATCTGAATCTGTACTTGTATCGGGGCAACTGGACAACGGGGCAACTGGCCAACCCACCGATGTCACTCCAAATGGAAAACAATTAATGAAAATGAAATTATACGTGGCCGGCGGCCATCGTGAGTTTTGAGTGCAAATGCCATTAGCATTTTGGCTGGGGGATAGTGTTTGCGGGGCGGCAGCCAACACATGTTGGACATATTGAGTTTCAGACTGCAGGACTTCAGCACAGGACATGCGAGACACACAGGACACACAGGACATACAGGACATGGCGCAGGAGGGGTCAATATTTACTGTGATTTCGTTTTAAGACCCAGCGGGGTTTACTTTTTATGCGAGTGGCTTGGCGAAATGTAATAATAGCAGGGGTTTGTCAAACATCACTATTATTTGTGTTCATTAAATTACTCACATTGTGTACTCTTGGTTCAGAGACTTCAAAAAGCTATCAAACAAATTACTTTTCTGAAAGCATATTTTTATACCCTTGCAGAGGGTATTATAATTTTGGTCAAAAGTGTGCAACGCAGTGAAGGAGACGTCTCCGACCCTATAAAGTATATATATTCTTGATCAGGATCACCTCCTGAGTTGATATAGCCATGTCCGTCTGTCCGTCTGTCCGTCTGTCCGTCTGTCCGTCTGTCTGTTTCTACGCAAACTAGTCTCTCAGTTTTAAAGCTATCGAATTGAAACTTTGCACACACCCTTCTTTCCTTTGCACGCAGTATATAAGTCGGAACGGCCGGGATCGGCCGACTATATCCTATAGCTGCCATATAACTGATTGATCGGAAATGCCATAACTTTCGTGTTTGTAAAGTTAGGAAGTTGAGATTTTCTATGGGTCTTATATTTGGCCAATCAATCCGACTCACCAAATTTCATAAGGATCGGCCGACTATATCCTATAGCTGCCATATAACTGATTAATCGGAAATGCCATAACTTTCGTGTTTGTAAAGTTAGGAAGTTGGGATTTTCTATGGGTTTTATATTTGGCCAATCAATCCGACCTACCAAATTTCATAAGGATCGGCCGACTATATCCTATAGCTGCCATATAACTGATTGATCGGAAATGCCATAACTTTCGTGTTTGTAAAGTTAGGAAGTTGGGATTTTTTATGAGTATTAAGAATGCATTATATGAATAATTTTGGAGAATATAATTTACAGAGTATTCTGCAAGGGTATATCAACTTCGGCTCCGCCCGAAGTTAGCTTTCCTTTCTTGTTATTACACAAATCGTGGATGGAGAAATTACCAAGACAAATAGAATACATACATATTTCAATAAGTTTTTAATTTTTGTATCATAAATTTCATACATTTATCAGTGTAAAAACTTTATTGCAGTGCATTGATTGACTATCAGTCACCGGTGACCTTTATAAATATATAGATTAGATAATGTTATCAGTGCGATTTTGTATATCTACGTTTTTATGTTGGAAATTATCACCTTTTTGCGACACTTTTTTGACATGTTTTTATTGCTAAAAATTTGATTTTGTAAATGGTCTACAAAATATTTATATCAGTCCAGTATTCAGTAATCAGTCAGTAATCTAAAATCAAAAACATTAGAACATTTTCAAACATATTTATAAAAGAAAATTAAGTCCTATAGAAAAATATGTTTATCAGTCAAGAAGCCTTTATAAAAAGTTATGTGATTTGAAAACAAAATTATATAAATTCATTTTAAAAAGATATTAAATAATATCTTTTGTGATATTGGGAAACATGTTATAAAGAAAATTTTGGGATTGTTAGGAATTCCTAGAAATTTTTATATAAATATATATATTAAACGCTCTTTCCCAGATGGCTCCGACTTCAAGGAGCGGCTGATAGCCAGCGTGAAGAAGGAGGTGAAGCAGCTGATGGAGGAGGCGGTGACCAAGAAGTACGTCCACGAGGAGAGCAGCTCGGTGACCTCGCTCTGTGGCGCCGTGGAGGCCTGTCTGAGTCAGGGACTCCGCCGGCGGGCTCTGGGATTGTTCAAGACCTCCTCGACGACGGCGCTGCTGCACAAGATCGCGAAGAGCTGCCCGGATGCGGAGCACATCAGCAAACTGGTCCAGGCGATCGAGGCCAGTGATCCCAGCAAGCGGTCCTCCAGCAGCAGCGACAGCTTCCAGCGGCCGCCGATGCTCAAGAAGAGCAGCAGCAACTCGATGTCCGCCGCCAACAGTGCGGCGGCCACCTCGTCCTCCGCATCCGCATCCGCATCCGCTTCCATCAGCGTCAGTGCCAGCAACTCCAGCATGTCCTTGGCCAGCATGAAGTGAGTTGATTATACTAGCTGAATTGCATCAAACAATGTGTTGCTTAGTACTACCTAAAAGCCCAAGACAGACTGTAAAACATATGTTTTTAATTTAAATTTATCATTTTTAGGATTTGATTGACTGATTGAGTACGATTGTATCCAGCATTGAGTTTATTCTTTATTAATATAATATATAGCCAAAACATGCAAACTGAATTTTTGCACACACTTCTTAATGGTCATCTTTAAATATATTAACTGAGAATCTTTCAACATACTTTCTATTTGTATTATAAACAATTACAATTGTAAACCTTCCTTGTACAGTTTTTGTGGGATATAATTTAAAATATAATGAGTTTATACTTTTATTACTAATATATATACTTTTATAACCAACTAAATAAATATTCAAAATAAAAATAATATTTCACACATTTCAATTTATCAAAATATAATTAGTTTTATAAATTTACCCTGAAATCGATATATAATATTGTTAGTTGGTTTTAACGGTGTGTTTATGTGCACCCCTTAGGTATTTGTGGATTCGGTTGGCTCTCTACGAGAAGCGACTCACCAAAATCATCGAGTATCTGGTGGGCAATGCCAGCAGCTTCTACGACCGGGACTCCCTGGTGGCCGATCCGGACTATGGCTCCATCCTGAGCTCCCTGCTGGTGGGTCCTTGTGCCCTGGACTTCACGCGGGCCAAGACAGCCGATCACTACTGGACCGATCCGCATGCTGATGAATTGGTAAGCGAAAGTTCCTATTCAACTCGATCCCTATCTAATTTGTTAATATTAAATGGCATTTATCAGGTTTAATAATAATAATTTAATGTTTATTTGAACTATTGAACAGAGCGTTAAAATATAATAGTTAGTTATAATAGTTAACAATGTCCCGTTAAATATCTTTAGATTAATTTTGAATTAGGGTTTCTGTTTTGAATAAATGCTTTCAAATACAATGTTAGAGTGCTTCTAACTGAAAACACTTAACTCTTAACTCTTAACAGACTTTGTAAAACTGAATCGTTTAAAAAACTAACATAAATAAACTAACTAACTTCATGTTAGCTTTATCTGTAAAGTAGAACTTTAACACGAATTTGGGAAATCGGCCTTAGAAAACGAATTTGTATTTCATGTAAACATTCTCCAACAGATTACTAACCAGAACCTTAACAAGACATTTAGAAATCGGTCCAAAAATTAATATAAATATTTTAAGATTGGTTCGGAATTACATATTTAAACTTATTCCAGGTGCAACGCCACCGGATCAGCTCCTGTCGCCGCTCCTCGTCGACCTGCTCCCGACCGGCGATCATCAACTTCAAGCGGAGCCTGAACACGAGCTCCGACGAGGCGAGCAGTGGATCCTTCAAGTCCATTGCCTCGGCCAGTGTGGCCAAGGATTACGTGGAGTCGCTGCATCAGAATGCCAAGGCCACATTGCTCTACGGGAAGAACAATGTGCAGGTCCTGCCGAAGGATGTGGCCGAGCCGATGCCAGGATATCTCAGTCTGCACCAGCACATCCAGACGCTGACCATCAAGTGGACGCCCAATCAGCTGATGAACGGCTACACCGAATCGGAGGAGGCGGAGGACATCGACAAGGACGCCTTCTGGGCCTACGCCCTCAACATCAACGTGGACGAGATCGTCTACGTCCACTGTCACCAGAGTCGCGGCGAGGACAGTGGCGGCACCGTCATCCTGGTTGGCCAGGACGGCGTCCAACGGCCACCGATCCACTTTCCCGAGGGCGGCCACATGCAGCAGTTCCTCAGCTGCCTGGAGACGGGCCTCCTGCCACACGGCCAACTGGACCCGCCACTCTGGTCCCAGCGGGGCATCGGCAAGATGTTCCTCTGGCCACGGAGCATGCGGCGCCGCATCCTGCCCTCCGTCATGGAGTCCGTGGACGAGACGCCCATCGACTACGTCTTCCGCATCGTCAGCAAAAGCCGCCACGAGGAGTTCGGTAATAAAATACCAAAGTCAATTAATCATTTCCTGTATATTATAAGTCTAAGGATAGTTCGAAAAAATATAAAATCACTAGTTTCTGAAAAAACCTTTCGCTTTAAAATATTATATATCTACACAATACAAATAAGTTCATATTGAGATTTACTTATGCAAAAAACATTATTTACATAAATGAATTTTCCATGGCTTATGCATATTTCCAAGAACCTTACTATTCTTAAAATTCAGGTCCTTTAAATAATTATATTCAGAATTTGCTATTTAAAAAACCTTTAGCAAACATAAATTGACTGTGAGATTTCTTAAGAATCAGCTTAAATTTAGATAAAATTTTCAGTAAATTTGGATTATTGAGCTTAATAATCTTTTAAAGATATTTTAAAGTTTTTCATTTATAAAACAAAAACCATACTTTAAATCGATTTCCATTACTCCAATATCAAGTTTTGATCAAGATCAATTTAATTATAAAATAATCCAATTATAATTTGTCGGAACGTTAAATGTGTTTTTTCTTTTTGTGTGTTTGAATTGAAATGTTATTAATTTGTATAAATATTCCCCCATCTGCAGCTGCCACCCACTCGATCATGGACTTTGTGCGGAGCACTCCGCGACGGGCGCAGCTGAGCAGTTGCTCCACCACCGGCAGCAGCGACTGCTCCAACAAGAGCCTCTCCATCGACCAGTTCCCCCTGGAGTCCCCCCTGCTCCTCCAGCAGCAGCAGCAACAACAACAACAGCAGCAACAGCTGCTCCAGGCACAGAGCACCAGCATCGAGATGGTCTGCTCCACGATGCGGAGGCAGATCATCTCCAGGGCCTTCTACGGCTGGTTGGCCTACTGCCGCCACCTCTCCACGGTGCGGACCCACTTGTCCGGGCTGGTCCACGGCAGGATTACGCCGGAAAGTAAGTTGCGACTACCTATTTCACTTTTATTTATTTAAGACTTCCTAAGCCCTGAAACTAATTCAGTGGAAATGTAATATTTAGAGCCACAACTTTTTACACAGATGTCAGATATCGATGTGGTATACCTCTAAAGGCTTGTGGCTTAATAATTTTTGGCCGATTTTTCGTAATTTTTTATGAAGTAACCCCTTTCCGAATTTTCGAAAAATGGGTTTTACAGAAAAGTACCTAAATCTTGAACTTCTAAGCACATAACTTTTCCTACAGACATCCGACATCAAAGTGGCATACCTCAAATTGATTGTGGTTTAATTCTCTAAAAAACTGTATTTTTACTTTAGTTTTTATTTTTTAGTCGATTTTTGCCATTTTTAACAATGTAACCCCTTGCCAAATTTTCGAAAAATGGGTTTGCAGAAAAGTGACCTAAATCCTGCACTTCTAAGCCCATAACTTATCGTATAAACATCTGAATTCAAAGTGGCATGTCTTAAAATGATTGTGGTTTAATTCTCTAAACATCTGTGTTTTCAGTTTATTTTTTATTTTTTGGTCGATATTTTGTCATTTTGAACGATGTAACCCCTTTCCAAATTTTCGAAAAATGGGTTTGCAGAAAGGTGACATAAATCCTGCACTTCTTAGCCCATAACTTTTCTTACAGACATCTGAATTCAAAGTGGCATTTCTTTACCTTAATTACGATATTGATACACAAATGATACGCAACGAACTCCTTCTTTTTTCCAGTGAAAGCCGATGAGGAGGGCCTGACCAAGGAGCGCTGGCAGCTCCTGAATGTGGATGGAGTGCTGGAGAACGCGACGGAGTTCTACCGCCTGGTCTACTTCGGGGGCGTCCAGCCGGAGCTGCGGCAGGAGGTGTGGCCCTATCTGCTGGGCCACTACGCCTTCGGCTCCACCACGGAGGATCGCAGGAAGCAGGACGAGACGTGCAAGCACTACTACGAGACGACGATGAGCGAGTGGCTGGCGGTGGACGCCATTGTGCAGCAGCGGGAGAAGGAGAAGACGGCCCGGGCGGTGGCCAAGTTGAGTTCCGGCAGCAATTCCGGCAATGAGAGGACCGTGCGGGCAGCCGATCTGGAGGCGGGCGGCGAACTGGAGAACGAGGTGTTCGAGGACATCTCGGATATATCCGATCCCGGTGACCTGGAGTTCGACGAGCAGCAGCAGCAGCAGCAACAGCAGCAGCAGCAGGCGGAGTGCCAGGTGAGTGGCAACCACCTGAGCGTGAAGCCCATTCCCAGGGCCATGAAGACCAGCACGGATTCGGGTCACGTGGATGAGGGCGAGAACTTCAATGAGCTGGACGAACAGGATGAGGAGGGTGATGGGACAAGGCAGGCGCCTGGGGAGGGGGATCGCCGGCCGGATGATCAGCTCAATCCGGAGCAGCCAAGCAGCTCCAACTCCACAGCCTCCTCCTACGAGACGGTGGGCCCTGGCGGCAACCAACAGCAACCGACCAGCGACACCCGCAGCGTCCTCAGTCCGGAGTATCTGAGTGCCGACGACCTGCAGCTGCCGGAGGATGAGGATGCAGTGAAGCCGGCGCAGCAGACGGCGGCTGTCATCATTACGAAGGCTTCCGTGGACATAGCCCACTGGGAGTCGCGCAGTCCCAAAACGGGCGAGGGCGACCAGATGTCACCCGTGGAGGAGCAGGTAGGGGAATCCCCTGGCGGAGGCGTCATTCTCGATGCACTGCAGCAGCCCAAGTCCGCCTGCGCTTCACCAGCCAGTTCCAATGGAGGTGTCTATAGTGTGAGTAATTGGCCAGCAATTTTCTCTGGGATATTTTAGCAATTATTCATAAAACTAATTGAATTAGCCAGCAAACATGGTGCTCACTGGGGCGTATACGTAATATGATTATTTTCAATCAGTTTTTAGAAATTCAATTTAATTATACTTTGGAATCCTGCATGTAGTTGAATTTATGGAAGCCATTTAAGCAAATGTCTTTAGAATAGGGTATGCAACTGGGCGTATACGTAACTTTTATATTACGTATACGCCCACTTGTTGCGTTGAAACATTTTTAATAAATACTTTAATTACCTTATGCAATCCTGCGAGCAATTGATGTTACTAAAAGTATTTTAATTATTTATTTATGTACAATGTTAATGGGGATTTTCATTCGAGAGTGCGTTCAACTGGGCGTATACATAATATGATTATTTTAAAACCGTTATTTTCCTTTTAAAAATAAAATTAAGTCATTTCATATCCCATTGTTATCCTTCGAAACCTCCTTTTGCAGAGCGAACTACTGGAGCAGTTCGGCCTGAATCTGCACCGGATCGAGAAGGATGTGCAGCGGTGCGACAGGAACTACTGGTATTTCGCCAACGAGAACCTGGACAAGCTGCGCAACGTGATCTCCACGTACGTGTGGGAGCACCTGGACGTGGGCTACATGCAGGGCATGTGCGACCTGGTGGCTCCGCTCCTGGTCATCTTCGACGACGAGTCGCTCAGCTACAGCTGCTTCTGCAAGCTCATGGAGCGCATGATCGAGAACTTCCCCAGCGGCGGGGCCATGGACATGCACTTCGCCAACATGAGGTCCCTCATCCAAATCCTCGACTCGGAGATGTACGACCTGATGGACTCCAACGGCGACTACACGCACTTCTACTTCTGCTACCGCTGGTTCCTGCTCGACTTCAAGAGGGAGCTCGTCTACGACGACGTCTTCGCCACCTGGGAGGTGATCTGGGCGGCCAAGCACATCGCCTCCGGCCACTTCGTCCTCTTTTTGGCCCTGGCCCTGCTGGAGACCTATCGCGACATCATCCTCTCCAACAGCATGGACTTCACCGACGTCATCAAGTTCTTTAATGGTAAGCAATAGAATGAATTTTCCCCTGCCTTGCCAAATTCTGTATAATAATCTGTGACATTTTCAGAAATGGCCGAGCGCCACAATGCCCAATCGGTGCTCCAATTGGCCCGGAGTCTGGTACTCCAGCTGCAGATGATCATCGAGAACAAGTAGAAACGTTCTATATAGGGCATTAGATCTAGATCGTAGTTCAGTCAAATTTCGTTTGCCAAAGATAACCAAGAAGCCCTAGAAAAAGCGGATTAACAAACAAACAATAAGTATGTGTCGATCGATGTCGTCGCTATTGAAGTATTCAACCTAGATTTGTATGAAACCAGAAACACTAACTAAAACCCGTAACTGTAATCCTAATGGTAACTGTATGTACTTTATGTCTACGTAAGTTCTTCCTAAACTCTTCACGCATATCCCCAGAAATAAAGGAAACCAGAAAACAGGGGCAGCAAATGCAAAAGACTCTGAGCAAAAGAATGAAATCTTATATATGAAACCCTTATACAACTGTATAGACATCTCTTACTCACACCTTGCACTCGAACAATTTGTTTTCAGTGTGGTTTATATACATATATAGAAGAAATCGGGAGAGCCCAATGTAGTTATCACGTTATATCAAAAGGCAAATCAAATTATCAATATATATATACACAAAAAGTGCGTTTTAGCAGTTATTTCAGATCAATTATTTTTTATTTATTTGAAATCTATTAAGAACCGATAAAAAAAAGGTATACAATCTATTAAAGAATACAAATAGTTACCGAAAAATCTTAATTGATCGATGGTTTTTCAGCTTCAGTTATATTTATCAATTTACTATTAATTCTTTGTCCCTTAACCAAAAACCAAATATATGTATAAACTATTGATTATGTCGATGTTTTTGATCTGAGACAACTGCATTCGCAAATCGCACGATAAAAATATAAATAAGAAAAGAACACACAACTAATAGCTGATCGTGAACGAATTAAAAATAGGTTCCGTTCCAAAAGAAAACCCGACATTTAACTAAACCAAACCAAAGGCTACTAAACTCTGTACCAGCGAAAATATCCAATTGTGTGTAACAATCAAGTCAACAATAAGTCAAGTACCCAAGTACCCTCAAATATCTATATATACGGCATGATCTCTTGTGTCTATTATCTATATAAGCTGCCAAGCCAAGCCAAACCAAGTTCCATTTTCATTTAATTGTATTTTATTTTTATATAAATATATTTACAAAGCAGAGTCAACGCGTACTTATATCTATTTTTCCCACTGTGTGATCTCTCTCTCTACACCGAGTATAAATGTTGTGGATTATCTTTATACCTTAATTATACTCTTTGTAAATGTACCTTTCCCCGGACAAACAAGAGGTAGACGATACCTCGGCTCCACTTTATCTCAATTACAAATACAAAAAAAAAAATATATATATATATATATATATACCCACACACAATATGAATATGAATATATATAGTATAAATGTATACAAGTACAAAGCAAATGATGTCGGTATGTTCGAAATGGAATCAATAAATAAATCATATACGATATATACCAAATCAAAACTGAAGTTTTTGTGGCGGATGGGGAGATATCATTGAACATACGATAAATTCCGATACATCAGCTGATCGCAACGCAAAACCTGTTGCCACAAAATTTAGGTAAACAATCGTTTCTTATCTGGCGATAAGACGGACCTTCCTCTAGGTTTCTATTCCTGGCCACTCGTAGTTGCCAATGGCCAAGAACTGGATTGATTATTTGGCAGATTGGCAATCTGGGGATGAATGAAACGTAGTTACACTCAGAGAAAAAATAATTAAAAAAGTTCACCATCTTTTAGATTGCCAATGTAAAATCGGAACGAGTTTTGTATTCTATTGAAGCAGTTTTGAGCCACCTTTCTGCAAGTCATTAGAAAAAATGGGTAAAATGTAATATTGTGTAGTAGGTTACTAGGAAATTAATCCAAAAATAGAGGTATATATTACCTTAAAATCGGAATACAATTGAAAAGTTATAGGCTCTACAAGTGCAGTTTTGGATCTGCAAGTCAATCAAAACAAATTTATAAATATCAATATTATTGGAAGTCAGCTGGTTTAAATCGAGTTTTAATAAGCCAAGTTTTAGACAAAAAAGCCAGGCTTGCGTTTAAAAGTTAACAAGTTTTAAAGTTAAAAAACATTATTTTTTTAATTACTTTACCATGGTGGTTATTTTAAAATTTTGCAAAGTGTAGGCGGTTCAAAGAGGGAAATCCGCCTTATCTTGAGAGCCAATTTGCCTTGCGCTTATTTCCTTCCATTTTTTCTTGTTGTTCGAGTCGCAGTAGCATTCGAATTTACTGTCAGATCGGAGAGCATCCAAAACTGGAGGGTATAAAAGTCGAATCAGCTGCATTAAACTCATTCGCTGACTTGATACGGAGGAGTCACGATCTCGCCATGTCGGTGTCGTTTTTGGCAAGTCTACTGGGACTCAGCAATGACGAGGATCAGCTGCAATTGGCCTTCGACGAGGTACAAAATCCCAGAGGTTAGTTAAAAAGTTCTAAAACTATTTAAAGTGATTATGTTCATTTTAAACCTAAATGAATGCCAGCGTCGGTAAATCGTAGAATTAGTTAACAAATCGACCCCTTTTAAAGGATCGAATTAAAATTAAAGTCTATTTTTAATACATTTTTAATTAAAAAAAAAAAACTTAAGTTCAGATCCTTATTAAATAAATATAAAAAAAAGTATATACAGTTCAAAATACCATGCTTGGCAAATTTATTTTTATTATTACTAAAAAAAATTTGCTACTACAATTAAAAACAAACCATGAAGACAAATATCAAGATCGAGACTTGACCAACTCTCGTATGCGTGATTTTCATATAAATGTCCATCACTACCGAACGGAAAGCTTTTCGTTGATAAAATACGCAACGTAAAGCTCGCTCTCGCATAATCTCTGTGTATATTATCAGCCAGCTGATTTCGATTCCGACCTAAGTCGGAGCTCAATCACTATGGTTTAGCCTCAGTTGCTCACCGACTGTGTTTGTGGTGAGTTCTGGGGGCATTGAACATCAAATTCAGGAGTGGTTCTACGCGTTTTTTGGGAGAGTGGGCCGTCGTCGGTGATCTTTGGACCGGTTGTTGTTTGTTTATTAATGCAATTGAATACATGTACATCTATTTGCAGTTCCCTTCAGACAGGCAACGAACCTGAGGATGTCGTCTCCAATTCGCTACTACTATGACCTCATGTCCCAGCCCTCGAGGGCATTGTTCATTACCTTCCGACTGAGTAACATGCCCTTCGAAGACTGCTTGGTGGCTCTGCGAAATGGTAAGGGTATTCCCGTGGTCAGGGTGGGTCTAGCTTTGGGTCGGTACCTCCTCAAAATATTTTGCCTTTTAATATCACGTTTTTCATACAATTTTAATTATTTATTCTCTTAAAATGATCAATGCCATCCTAATATTGTAAATATTGTTTGTAGAAAAAAATAATCTTAGAATCATTAGGAAATCTTTTAAAAATTAATACAATTCTTATGATCTTAAGAATATCTTTTTTTTAATAGCCAATATTTTACATAAAAAGACAATTATTATTGTATTATTTTGATAAATTGAATTCGAACCAATTTTCTCAATCAGTAAATAGTACTAAAATAATTGTTTATAATTTGAAGAGTATTTTCACTGCAAGTAAAACCATACGATTTATTTGAATTTTAAAAAATCCCAATAGTTTTTTCACATCTGTGGTTATTGTTTAAAAGTTTGGACCCACCCAGCCCCGCCAAACCATGTATAAACGTTACAATCTTATCTTAACCGCGGTCTTTGCCCCCAAGGCGATCACTTGACCGAGGACTTCAAGCAGCAGATAAACCGCTTCCAGCGCGTGCCCTGCATCCACGACAATGGGTACAAGCTGGCGGAGAGCGTGGCCATCCTGCGGTACCTGAGCGCCAAGGGCAAGATCCCGGAGCACCTGTATCCCAAGTACTTTGTGGACCAGAGCCGCGTGGACGAGTTCCTCGAGTGGCAGCACATGTCCCTGCGCCTCACCTGCGCCATGTACTTCCGCACCGTCTGGCTGGAGCCGCTCCTGACCGGACGCACTCCCTCTGAAGCCAAGATCGAGACGTTCCGCATGCACATGGAGCGCAATCTCGACGTGGTCGAGGAGGTCTGGCTGGAGGGCAAGGACTTCCTCACCGGGTCCACTCTCACCGTGGCGGACATCTTTGCAGCCTGCGAAATCGAACAGACAAGTGAGTATAAAAATTGATTTGATAAATATGTTTAAAGCATTTGAAATAGTTTGGTTAACATAACATACCTTAATTTTAGACTTTAAATTCAAATCAAAATCGAGTATATAAGACAATTTATTCGAAAGATATTTTATATTTTATATCCACCCATTCCATATGTAAATTTCTGGATCTGTAAAGACATGTTTATTAACCATTCCTTGTTTTGCTTTTCAATTGCAGGAATGGCCGACTACGATGTGAGGATCAAGTACCCCAAAATCCGAGCCTGGCTTAAGAGAGTGCGCCAGAGCTGCAATCCACACTACGATGTGGCCCACGAATTCGTCTATAAGATCTCGGGAACGGGTCCACAGGCTAAACTTTAATCACCAGCTTTCTCAAGGCACCATTTTGTACATAGATCATTATCATTTCTGGGGTTTTAGATATAGTTACTAAAACATTGTTCACATTGGAAAAGAAATACACAACTTCTAAGTTCTGGTTTATACTTGTACAATTTATTCTTAATATTGGTTGTTTCTTTTTTATTGTGTCGTCGTTTATAGCATTATAGAAAATCCACATTTATTTTTGTTTGAAAAAAAATCATAATACAAATAAAATATATATAGATGTATACATGTATAATAGAAAATACAATTTTTAAAAAATAACTACCTAAAGTCTAACAAAAAATTGTTTTTAGTTAATCATAATATTTATATAGCAACGTTACGCGCTTGGGGTACTTTCTATATACTTTTCTCCGGCCTTCTCGTTTGTTTCTGCCATTGGGTAACAAAACAAAATGCGTACAAAATATATAATCCTTTATATATCCTTACTTTTTTTTGGGAGGGGGTGGTGTAAATCATAATTGTGAATGAAATCAAAAAAATTAAATCGTATATACAGCAAAAAAAATGGGAGGAATACTATACAACTACTATCTAATTGCTTAATCAAATATATTTGCATGTATTTTTATGCGTTCTTGTTTTTGCCAAACTTAAATCATATAAAATCATATACAAACTACACAAAAATATATAATATTATATATGTAAATGTAAATTTATGCCGTTTCTTATGCGTTATATGGTAAACATATAGTTGCTTTATCAATAAAACATCATCCCGAACATGGTATCCTTCTTCTGGTCGCCTGTCTGAACAGCAGCTTGTGTGCAAAGTTTGTATACATATCTCTCTATAATATAGCTTTATAGCCGCACCAATATCATACATATCCTAAAGCACCGCCAATTAAATAAACGAATTTGGGTATCAAAAAAAAAAATGTGTGTGGGTAAAAAAAAATAGGTTTCCAAAATTTGAAACACAAACAATTTAAGGCACCAAAAATGGGTTCTCCTTTTTTCCTCCACTTTTTTTTTACAGCAGGTACACGGGTACACAGAAAACAAAAAAACAAATACACATTCAAAACAAAACATCAAACTGATCCCTATCAAGGACCTAGCGCAACTAAGTTGGCAGAGGGACTCGGCTGAATTTCCGGACAGGCGACGCTTTCGATTGTTCCTATACATAGGTGGTTATTTATGCGATTTCTCTGTATTGTGTTGTATACGTTTTACAAAATAGTTCTCTCTCTCTCTCTCTATCTTCCGCTTTCCGTCTCCCTTTATATATATATCTCTTTCTCTGTTTCCCAATATATATATCTCTCTTTCTGTTTGAATCCAGATCTTTGCTTGGTTCCCATTTAATTTGTGTGTTTTGTGTATTTTGTGTGTGCGAATAAATTACTTCCTGCCCTCGTATAGTTTTCATCTAAGATTGTTTTTTCTGCGTTGCGTTGTTAAGATTTGTTTAACCCTGGGAGTTGTGCCTCTTTTTTGTTTACTGTGCATTAAGCAATTCGATCTCGGATCTTTGCCAAATAATTATTTTCAGTTTTCTAAAAACGAACCGGATAGGTTGATCTGTTTGGTTTTCAATGTAATAGTTATTTTTTGTCGTGTGTCAGTATTATATATTTAATTACGACACAACTCCTTGGGATCTGCACATGAATATATAATATATCGTGATAGAATATGTGATAATACGTATTTAACTGCTCTGCTGATTCTTTTTTGCAATCAAATCATTTCTTATATCCTTTTGGTTAACTTTTAAGACCCAACTTTGCAACTGCACATTGATATAGGTATATAGTTATATAGATTATGGTGACTATTTTCCACAGAATCTAAGTTGTGAATGGTAATCTTTGATTTGTTTTTAAGTAGCTTTGTCATACACACACATTGGCTTTAAAATTTGTTTTGATTTCTTAAGACACCAAATTTTATTTTAAAGACATTCGTTTGTGAAGCAATGCTACATAAACCTATTCAAAATTACATCTCGGCTTTGATTTGATATATTTTTTTAGCAACTTTGCTCAGGTTAACATTCATTTAAACGTTGGTTTCTTAAGATGTGGGATTATCATTTGTGTGTGTTTTTAACAGACTGTTGTTAAATATCTTCATTTTATGTTTTGGTCTATATGTTAAACTCTATTGATACTCATTTAAACTTGTTGTTTTCATGGTATGAATAAAGCAGAATAACCATTTTTAAGCAACTGCTATTTCCGGGTGGTTTCATTGCAGTCATCTGCATTTTGATATATAAACCATTTTACTAATCAGGTTTCTTAAAATTTGAATTTAGCAGACTGCCTGTTTTTGTCAATTTAACTGCTTTAGCTTCATTCTTGTGAAAATGTAAACATGCTTTTTTAAAGGTGACCCAAGCAGACTGTTTTAACTACATTGTTACATTGGTTATTTTCTTATGTTTGGAGATGTAGTGTTTTCTTTAGAAGCGACCTCGGTTGATGTTCTTGATGCGTATGCCCACTTCTAGGACCTGATCTCCGTTGCCAGCGGGTGTGGTGCTGGTGCTGCTGCTGTTGCTGCTGCTATTGCTGTTGTTGCCGACCACGCCCACGACGACTCCGCCACCGCCGCCCACTCCTCCAGACGGTGGTGCACTGGAGGTCACACCCGCTGCTCCACCGCCATTGCCATTGCTGCCATCGCTTTGGGGCGAATTGTTGTTATTGCTGCTGGATCCCGAATTTGATCCCGGCAATGCCACACTGGCATCGGCGCCAGCTTGTCCCGCTCCCAGGCGCCGCAGCACCGTGGTGGTGGTCGTCGTGGTGGTTGTCGTCTCGGCCGCCGCTGCAACACTGCCACCGCCGCCGGTTGAGGCGCTGCCCAGTTTCAGCAACTGCTGCTGGTGATGGCGATTGTGGTGATTGTAGTTTATGGCCGCCAGATCGTGACCGTGGGCGTGGTTCGAGCAGCTGCCATTGCTGGCGGAATAGTCGTGCGGTCCGCCCACCGTATGTCGGCGCTTAATCGAGCGGTTCTGCTTGTTCTGGATCTGGCGCTTCTTGGTCAGGTTCATGTCAGTCTTCTCGTCCTTGGTCAAGCCGGTGGCACTCAATGCCTGGCAGCAGGCCACGCCCACCGCCACCGCTCCAGCTACTCCGCCCGATACTCCCCCGGCCGATCCTCCTGCTCCGGACTGTTGGGCCGTCATGTGCCGGGTGGAGTAGTTCCGGCAATTGAAGCTGGCACTCCGAAATAACCGATGGTCGCGTCTCTTCTTGTTGTAGCGCTCGAGAAAAAACGACGGCGACGGGCGCTCACCGAGCAGCAGCTTCTCCTTGGGATCGCTTGTGGTCGATCCCTCGGAATCGTCCTCGGAGGCAGCTCCTCCAGCCCCTCCGGATACCACGGCCCTTTCTGCAGCACCTGCGGCCGCATTGCTCCTCTCGTAGCTCATATAGTTGCTGAATCTGGGATGTATGCTTTTGGTCAGCGTCGTCACACTGCTCGAGGAGCTGCGCGAGGAAATGGCGCCGGGTCCGGCTCCAATGCTACCGGTGGGCGTGCCAACGGGCGTGGCTGCTCCGCTGGTCGGTGCCGTGGAGCTGCCCTGATGAATGGGCACCGTGGCCGAGTGCTGTAGCTTATGCGCAGCCTTTAGCAAACTTGGGGGCAGTGGCGCCACGCCGGCCGACTGCTTCGATGGCTTCTCATCGCCGCCCCCAATCGTATTGGTGGCCGTGCAGGAGCGACTCAGGTGCAGGGAGAGGGGGGCCGCGTCCAGGGGATTGCAAAACTGATGGAACAGCCGCTCGGGCGACTCGTCCGCATACGGAATGTTCTCGGAGTGCAGGTGCAGCGGCTGGCCCAGGGTGTGCCGCCGGTTCTTGGGGAACTCGGGCGATCCGTTCTCATCGTTCGATTCGGAGCCGCTCCGCAGGTTGCGCAGCTTGCTGTCCAGCGTGTCCGTGATGGTCGTCAGCGACATGGAACCTGGTTAAATGACAGGGAGTTATTGCAAATATGCATACGCACATGCCCCGCATCTCACCGCATCCAATCCTTACCCGTATCGCTGAGCCGACTGCTGCTGTCGTCGTCCGTAAGCAGAATCGATATGTCCACGCTGCTGCGCTGCTGCTCCTTGGCCAGATTCAGACCCACTCCCAGGCTGTGGCCCAGACTGCCAGACGATTGTCCCGAATCCTTTTCATCCAAGCTGGCCTTGCGCGTCTGGTGTGAGGACCGCGAGCCCAGGAATCCGCCTGTGCTGCGCTTCTTGAAATTGGCACTCAGCAACTTGGACGAAGTTGCCGAGATGGACGAGGAAACGGCCACTGCCGTGGTGGAGGAGGCCGACGACGAGGACGAGCTGAACTTGGTGGTGGAACTTGAAGAGGACGAGGCGGATGCCTTGCCGCCGCCGCTGTGGAGCGTGGAGCTGCTCGAGGTACTGGCGGTACTGCTGGCGGAGGCCGAGGCGGACACCTTGGCGTAGTCCAGCGACTGAAAGGGAAGAGAGACGGAGGAAACGGGTGTGGGCAGGAGCAGGATTAGAGCCTGGTCGCAAATGCTCTGGACAGCCTTGCGCTGCGCCCGTCGCTGCTGGATGGTGGTGGTGCTGATGGTTGTGGTGATGGTGTTGCTACTACTTGTGCTACTTGTGGTGTGGGTGGTGGTGGTGGTTGTGGTGTTGTTGGAGGAGCTCCCGCTTACCAGAACACTCTCGCCGGAGTACGTGTCCGAGTTCACGGCGCTCCGCTTGCCATGGGTCTTCCGCCTCAGTTGGGGCATGAAGCGCGATGTGCGCGTGGTTTCCCGCTCCGTGATTCGCTCGATCTTCGACAGGTTGTGCAGCAGCATGCTCGTCTGGTCCTCCTGCGTCTGCTGCTGCGGCTGTGCCGCGCTGACGGCGGCAGAACCGCCGCTCACCTCCGCCAAATCAGGCAGACTGCCGCCCTCGAAGAAGTAGTCATACTGCAATGCCAAAGGATACGGATTAGGATATCATAAAAATCAAAGAAAGCGGTAGAAAAAGCGGTATATACCTGAGTGACCAGCAGCTCGACGATGCGGCACTGGTGCTTCATGTCTTTGACTGCCGTTTCCAGCGTGTCATTCGGCGTCCTGATTATCGAGGGCCCGAAGATGATGGCCAGGTTCTTGGGCTCCATGCGGTTGACCTCGCAATTGCCGCTCACCCGGCAGAGATGCCGAATCAAATGCTTCATTGTCTCGTAGGGATGTTGCGGCAGCGACTCCACTATCTCACGCAGCAGGACAATCCTCTCCAGGCCAAACTTCTTGTCCGCCTCGATGAAGTTAATGTAGTAGTTGGCCGGCATTAGGGCATCCGGCAGGCTGCGTATAAACAACTTGAGCAGACTGCTCACCACATTCACATCCTCCCAGCGGTCATCGCTCGCACAGCTTTCGAACTGGAAGTCCTTGTTGTTGACCAGTTCGGACAGCTCCGATATGGCCGCCTTGTTGCCGGGTATGCGATAGATGCCCACCACGCCCAGACCCTTCGTCTCCACAATGTTCGTGCACACTTCCACCAAATGCGGCACATTGGCATTGACTTTCGACATGGGACAGCTACGCAGGGGAACGCCGATGGACCCAAACTGTTTGGCTGCGCAGGCGGATGGCGAGGCCAAGTCGTGGTGGGACACGCCCCCACTTCCACTGCCGCCGCGGCGGAAGAGTAAATCCTTCCAGTTCTTCGATTTGGGCGAGCCCAAATCCTTATCTGGTATATGCTTGTGCGACGACGATTTCCTTGCCTTCATCACCGGCGATATGGAGTCGCTGGTGGCCGCCACAATGGCCGCCGCCGCTGGCAGAGCAGAAACATGATGATGACCGCCGCTAGCCTCGGCAATGCCACCCGAATGTGAGCTCAATGGGGAACTGTCCGCGGCAGCTGCTCCGGCTTGAGCGTCGTCCAAATAGCTGGCACTGGCCACTGTTTTCTGTGGCTCCGCCAATTGCTTGCCCTGCTGCTGGTGCTCCTGTTTGGTGGGAATGCATGTTAGTTCAATGGTTTCATTTCCTATCTGCACTGGGGCACTCACATTGTCGTCGTAGTTGAGGCTGTCCTTCCACTGCAGCAACCCGAACAGACGCTTCATCTCGTTGCTGCTCTTGGTCTTGAACAGGATCTCCGTGTAGGGACCGCTGCTGCAGGTGGACGAGGAGGTGGATGCGGTCAGGGCCGAGCTTGAGGCCGAGTTGGCAGTGGGCTCATTCGCACTGCTACTGCCAGAGGAGGTCAGCAGCTTGTCATGACCCTCGTCCAGGTTCAACTCGTTGCCCAGCGAGGCCAAATGGGCGCCACTGGGCGATGGCTTCGACTGCATGCGGATCAAGTACTTCTTCTTGTCCAGAGACTCGTCGAAGAATTTAAAGTTTCTAATATCAAGTTCTATCACCTGAATAGGATATGAAATGACAATCAGTAAGTGTGACTTTGGCTTGTCCTTCGGTATACACTTACATTGTGCTCCGATTTGGCATGGCGGCCTGAGTAGATGCGCAGCAGATCGCCCTTGATCTCCAGCTTCACCTGACGCCACGATCGGTACTCGGACATGCGCTGCAAATGCATAAAATACAATTAATAATATTGAATAAAACTATGGCTAGTTTCTGAGCACGACCACCCACCTTTCCGTTGATGCAAGAGGACTTGATCTCGATCTCCGTTTCGAAGGCCTCTAGTTCATTGGGCACATACTTGCCATTCAACTCGGCATCAATGTGAATGCTATTAAATACACGAAATAGTTTTTATCTAGAATATTTTTGATAGGATAAGCAAACGAACCTGCTACGCATGTCGCTGCTCATGGAGGCCCTGCGACTCCCGTGGGCCGACAGACGCACATCCTCCAGGCCGTTCGGCGTCTCGATGAACTCGTGGCCGCCGCCAGTGCCTCCGATCACATCGTAGGTGGGATCCGGATGCTCCTCCACCAGGGATTTCGTCTTCTGCGGCTCCACGACAGCAGCCACCGGAATGGGAATCGAAATGGGCAGGGGTGCGGGTGCAGGAGCGGATGCAGGAGCGGGTCCAGGTGCAGATGCAGCTGCAGCTGCTGGTACGACTGGAACGGATGGTACTCCAGCTGATGCCGATGATCCTGCTGCCGCAGCAGCATCCCCACCAGCTGCTGCCTCCGCATTGAAGTCGGCCTCGTTGTTGGTGGCCCGCAGATAGGAGATCCTACGCATCGGTTTGCCTTCGTCAAAGGAGCTGGAGGATAATGGTTTGTAGCGCCGTACAACGTTTCCGCTTCCCACAGCACAGTCCACAATAGCTGCCGCTGTAAATATGGCGAAAAACAAATGGATTATCGCCTTATATCATTCACAGGCTTAATAAAATATTTAGGACCGCCTAAGTGCGTTTAACGAGGACTATATGTATGTGTGAAAAATATTCCTAATTTAAGCTGCTACGTTTTGCAGGACCTTGATAATAATTTCTTATTACGTTCTACAAATTTGTGTGCGTGTCTATTTTAATTGGTACTGCTACTATTACAAAATTGATTTTATTCATTAAAACAACCCGGTAGAAGCTTAAACTAATTAGAGAAGTAATAAAATATTCTAGATTCTAGACTTTGCAAAAAGCGAGATTTAATATAAATAAAATTTGTTGAGAACATTAACAATTTGAAACTAATTACTTTAGCAAATTAAATAAAAATGTTATATAAGCATTTAAGATAGCAATAGCTTTGAACTATTTGAAAATGTTAGATAGGATTTTAAAAACGATTTGTTATTGAAATTGGAACGACGTTAGTTTAAAGTAATAAAAGTAACTCAGGGGACCAGAAAGATAGGGCAACCAAGGACATACCACTGCTCTCGGCAATGTCCGCCAAGGTGGCAACGGAGGAACCCACAGGCGGCTTTTCCTGCAGCGCCACAAACTCTGCACCAAATACAAGAATACGATTGTTGTTTAGTAACTTAGTGGCTGGTAAGGTGAATGGAATGCATTTCCAAATGATAGACTCACTGCTGGGTCCCACGGGCACCGGATCGATGGTGGCATTCGCCAGCGTCGCCTTGTGCAGCTCCATCCGGCTGCTCGTCTGTCCGTCCACCGTCGTCGTCGTCGTCGTCATCGTAGTCGTCGCCGAAGTTTGATGCTGCGTCTGATGGTACTTGGCCAGCGGATGCTGCTGCAGGGACTCGTACAGCACACTTTGTTTCTTCACCGTCGTCGTGGTCGCATTGCTCGATGTGCTGGCGGAGGACTCCATGGCACTGGTGTTGATCGACAGCGGCTTGAACGGATCGAAGCCCTTGGACATGTGCGACACCAATTTGCGCTCGAAACTGTAAATTCAGATGGAGAGTTTGATTAATATTTATTATATAGTTGCATTATGTTGACTGTATAATTTACAGCCAGGGATTTAATGTACTTACACTTTATTGGTGACTCCTGTTTCCTGCAACGTCTCGAAATAGTCTAGATCCTTGGCATACTTGGCATTGTTGTTGATCATCACCTGGCGATGTTGCTGCTGCTGTTGGATCTGCTGTTGTTGCTGGTGGTGGAGTAGTTGTTGCTGCTGCTGTTGCTGGTGCAGTTGCTGATGGTGGTGGCTCACACTGCTGGGAGCCGTGGAAGATCGCTGCACTAGCTTGCCACCGGAATAGTACATATCGAAGCCAAGGACATGATTTTGCTGCTGTTGTTGTTGCTGCTGCTGCAGCTGCTGCAGTTGTTGCTGTTGCTGCTTGAGCAGCACTTGATGGCGACTGCGTGGCGGAGGGACCACCACCTGGACACCACCGGGCGGCGTGTGCGAGGGAAAGAAGTGCTGCTGGTGCTGCTGCAGATGTTGCTGCTGTGCCGGCGATGAGGATTGCGCCTGATTGCCGTTGGTCGAGGTGGCGGAGGAGAGGGAGGCGGGCACCGGCGACTTGAGGAACTCCTCCTTCTGCTTGATCGATTCGCGGAGTCGGATCATCAGGTCGCTGTTCTCACTGCCCCCCGAAAGGGATCCAGATCCCGATCCGGTGGCTGAACTGGGTCCTGCGCTGACTGCATATACCGCCTGACTGAGGGCCGTTGCGGATTTCGGCTGGCGGGCGGTGGGCGTGGGTGTGGGCGTGGTCGTTGCCGAGCTGGCCGATAATACTGTTAAATTTGGCGGCTGATTTGCACTGCAGGAAAATAATAAAAACAATTTAAAACATTAAAATGGGGTAAACCATAAAAAAAGATTACACACAAATTTTGAAGATAGAATTAAATGTTTGAATAACTATTGATCTTTATAGTTGTCAAATATTTCAAAAAAAATCGATTTAAGGTGCCTGTTTAGTTGTTTTGTAGATATAAGCTTTTAATACCTCAATTTTAGTTCTGGCAACGTAAAGCTGCAGTTTGGGGCCAAACAATGCAGCATAGCTTTAAACAATTGTAAAACCACTAAAAAAACATAAATGTCTTATTATATATTATATTAAAAATACCTAAATGATGTAATTTTAATTCGGAAACTAAGACCTCAATCCTATTTATTGTTTCACGTAAAAAAACGTTTAACTCAGATCGAAATCGAAAATATAAACAAAAAGTAGTTAATAACTGAATAAAATATTGCAATTTTTACGATTTACACTGACATTTGTATGATTAAACACTCAAATCAACAGTCTGCCTTTCTATTTGCCTGGCAATAATGAAGCAAAAGTGCTTCTGTTGGCGGATCTAGACATTTTTTTGGTGGCTTGTTAATTTTTTTGCAAAACAAAAATATTTGTCAATTGAATCAGCGGCGAATGAGCAGACGCAGTAGCTCCAAATTGGCCGGGGGCCAAAAGCAGTACGCTCCAAGTCTGCCCCGCACTTTTTGATGGCACGTGCCATCATCAGTTTGTCAGTCGCTCAATGAGTTTGGGTCCCCTTCGCTGCCGTCACACGCGGCGCATGCGCAATATTGGCGATCGCGTACGCCGATCACGATCTCCCCGTAACCCCTTTCCCAGCATGTTGCCAAATTCCATTCCCTACTTTACGGAAAACCAATCTATAGCTCACTATTCTTTGTTTTCTATTCTTTCAAATAATTGATTTCATTTAATTTTGCTTCCGTTCGAACATCTCAAGTGCAACTAATTAATGCCTGTGGATTTTCAACAGCAATACAATGAAGACTTCTTTGTGATTCATTGGAATGCCTAGCAGGTGTTTGAAAATCAGACCAAGAAGTACCACAGCAGGTAAGGTAAAAAGGGTGTAAATATAATTTATAACTTTTAAAATGCAACCATGAGAAATATTTACAACAAAATTTAATGACTAAACTTGTATTTATTCAAAACAAATGTACTACCATTTGTAACTGTCATTGACGCAAAGTTTTGTGTGAAAAACATGAATCTCTGTTTTATTATCACCCAACCATGACTTACAGACTAACTGAGGGGGAAATTCGGAAGCAAAACAATGCATTTTTTTTACATATCCATTTGGTTAAGAGATTGCGGTGAAGGGGTACCTTTCACACTCCACTCGGCAGAGAAAAGTTTTATTTTTCCAACTTGTGCAACCACAAATGACCGCATCATGATACAAAAAATCATAGTAAAGTTGTATATTTTAGCTTTAAATTAACTCAAATAAATGAAAAGGTACTTTGTTATGAATGCAGGTCATTCGATTACGTTAACAAACTAAACAAGTTAATAAGAACTCAATACATTATTTAGCAATGAACTTGAACTTGCAATTCAACCCACAACTTTTCTGCATTTTCCGCTGACTTCCCAAATTGACGTGAATGTCAAGTTGAATTAAGTTCCTGGCTAAAAGCCTTTTGTGATATGTGAAAATGTCAAATTGTGGACCGGTTTTTTGGACAGTTTGCTGTATAGCTGGCTATGTTTTACCACCCGCTACAGTGGGCACTCAACAAACAAACGCCAGCCGGCCAAACAAAACAAAACAAATTAGATTTGAGCCAAAGTTTAAGTGGCAGAGGTTGAGAGCAGCTCGAATAATTAAGTACCATGTGGCGCACAAAGGAGCGTTTGCGTATCGAGTTTTTAGCCTCGGTTGCGGTGCCACTAGAAACAGCAAATTAGTTTAACTATGCTTCCATTTCCTGGCCCCCGAATCACTGGACTCCGCATCCATGTGCCGAGATTGTCAAATGAAAGTTCAAAGCTAAAAATAGTATGGTAAATGACAGAGTAAGTGCGAGTGTGAGTGTGAGTGTGAGTGTGCGCCAGGATGGTTAATTCAATTCGCTTTTAAAAGCCTTTCCCACACTCGAGGCTCAAAAACCCCGGCAGACTGTCAAGGTCAAAAGGTAATGAATAGATGGCCCCCCACCCCCCAACCACCCACTCCCTCCCCGTTTTATATCCCTGGATCATATTTCACAGGTCGCAGAATAAAGGAAACGCACACACATATTGCCACCATATTTCCATTGCCTAGCTTTCAGCGTACAGTGGGCCAAAGTAAAACGTAAAAATACAAAAATATTTTAAGCAAATAAGTAATAACATTGAAAGCTTCATTATTTTAGATAACAAACATGTGCTTAGTCAGAGGTTAATCTTAACGTTCGTATAGAATAGGTTGACATCATATTTTAATATGATTCAATTTTATTTATTTAAATTATTATTCAAATATGATTCAATTTTATTTAACTATATTATTATTATTTAGGTTGACTTTAATTATGTATGTTTAAAATGTGACATTATTATAGTTTTTAGTTCGGCAAAATCAATGCCATTAACTTATTAACGGATTTACTCCGGTTTTGGCCCACTGTGCAGCGGCAGAGCAGGTAGCAATGGCAAAATAAAAAATTCTTCGGATCAGGAGCGCGTGTCCCCAGCAAATGAATGTGTGATTGGTGTGCGAGCGCGTATTCGGTGGCATTATTATCTATGCATAAAGCTATCTATATGTAATATTGGATATTTGGGTTCTACACTGGGCGACGAAAGTTGTTTATATATAACACACACACAAAATCTGAACTTTTCCAGGCTTTTTAGGATTCATATTCAAGTAATAATATGAACAAACAATACATTAAAAGAAGTACAATTCTTTAAATTAAAATTGAATATTCCAATTTCTTTCGGTGCATGTGTGTATGATGCAAAAAAGCTTTGACACAAGTGACTCGCATACAATTCAATTTGATTTGATTCATCGCAACCCTCTGAAAGCCCCCAAAAACCCTTATCACCGCCATATGTATATCCCATATTGTTGCTGCATATCGATAAAAGGCGGCCAGCGAATTAGCTATATCTCTGGGGGGTAAAAGAATATATATTCATATATTTATATATATACTTATAAGCTCTCTCCTTTTCCCTGTGCGGAATTTCGCACTTTTATTGTCCGCTTGTTGTATGCACTGTGGGCTTTATTTTGTATTACTTTTCTGTTGTCTGATTTGCGTTTTGCCAACTCTTGCGACTCTTTGCAATTAACAAGTCATAAATAAAAAATTGTTGACACATTTGATAAGCGACAAAAGCCACAGGCAGCTTGAGAGCGAGAGGGATAGATTTGGAAAGAGTGAGAGAGAAAGAGAGATTACCTGTCGAACACACACGCAAAAAACAAGCCCACTCACGCACTTTTATTTTCTCTCGGTGTTTAATTTTGCAAAACGTCCGATTTTTACAAATAAAAAAATATATATATTTGTTTATGAATTTAAGCCCTTCAGTATGTCAATTTCTTTACGGTGTTTATTTAGTGATTTTAAAGCAATGGTTTAGCAGTTTAAGATGCTTTGTTTAATTGAAAAGTTTATATTAAAAAAAAAACAAAATATATATAAAAAAAATTTACATTTCAAGCATTTAGTATCTAATTAGCATGTAGTACCTTTATAAATTAAAGCATATATTTTTAAAGCAAAGAATTCCTACAACGATTTCTATATTCATTATACTAGAGTGACTGGCTTTTTGAATTGGTCTGCCTTCGATGGAAAGAAACACTCTCTTTCTGTGATGATTGGGTTATTTTTACTTCGAACTGATGGAACCCATTGATTGTAACCTTTTCAAGGGCGACGGCAAACCTTTACACAAGTCACGTTCATTGTGGTCTTTGTTTTTAATAGTTAATAGTTTCTGGCGAGGGAGTCGCTTTCGTCGCTTTGATCTTCGCCTCATGGAAAACACTTGAACTCTTGATCTAATGTACATTTTTTCCGGACAAGGTCTCTGCAATTTGTGAGTTCTTTTTAGGTTCTCAAATTGGTTGGCTATTAATACACACTCTATAATGAGGAGAGCAACACAGAAAAGACAACACAACTTAATTGTAGATAAATGCAAATTAACCTTTTTTCAATATTGGAATCGATCTCGAACCGTATCATTTTCATATGTATAAGCATAGGCTTTTTGTCGCCATTTAATGGTAGCGCATACATTTTTTTTTTTTTTTTTTGGCAGTGTATGGCACTTAGAGCAAAGACAACTCCATCACAATGCACTCACAACAAGAGATCGCGGTGAAATTCTCTAAAAAAAAATATGCTAATAAATAAATTTATATTACAAAAAACTTCGTTTCGCCGCGTATCACAAAATCTGAAATCTGCGCGAACCGTTCGCCATCGTCAACTAAACTAAAGTACTACGCAAAGTCCATGCGACTAAACTAAAATAAAAAAAAAAAAAAAGAAAATACAAATAAAAAAAAAAAAGAAGGCACAACAAAACACAGCAAAAATTGGCTTTGTATGCATATATGAAATTCGTATTAAAGAGCGGCAGAGGCTCAGCAATTGAAAGAGACCCATTGAGTGGGCAGCGACCGAATGGCGAACGACCCACCGACCGATGCTCTCACATGATTCCCTTTTTTTGTATTATTTCAATACAGTGAACACTCTGAGAGGCAACTGCAATTTTTTCATACATTTTACAAGCTTCGTTTGCAGCAGTTTCAGATGAATTTGACTTTGAAAAAGAACTATTAAATCAGACATCCTTAAAAGTCAAATATTTTTTTAATGAAATATGAGTGTATCGCTATTAGCTGGCTATTTTGGCGTTTCCCTGGAACCTCTCTTAAAACTATTATTGCAATCATAAACATACGCAACATTCACTTTTTTTTAAAACTCATTAAAAGATGAACACATAAAAAAAAAAGAATTGAGCGGCGGTTAATTAGAAAAGGTGTCTTGGAAAAATATCCAATCATACAGAACATTCTAATTTCATTTTATGGAAAAACTAATTACAACTGTATTAATATCATTATTACTTGGCTCTTTGAAATTGTATTTTCTCGGCTATAAACCTCTCTAGAATCATAACTGTCCGCAATAATGTATTGCCGGCGCTCACTGTATTTTATAAGCAATAAATAGATAAACAAATAAAAATGAAGTGAGGGGCGGCCAGTGGGCGAAGGGAGCAGCCCACTGTTTGCACAGGACGGACGCTCGAGGGCGAAAGGGGAATGGAGTGGTAATCACTATATCACTATCAGTCACCGACTGACCAAATATATACCCTACCCTACCACACCCCACCCCTTTCCCCACGCGACTAACCTTGCCTTGTTTATTTATTTACAGAGTGGGCGGAGGGGCGGATCTCACCCAACCGCAGGGCGTATACGTAATTGTCAAAGCAAAGTAGTTAAATTTCTATATTATACAGTGGGCAAAAATATATATATTTTAAAGCTTAAAATTTATAAATATTTCAGTTGTTATATTACTAATAGCATGATAAATATATTTGAGTTGTAACAAAGCAAAAACATTAATTTATTTAAATGTTATTTGATATAGCATACTAATGGCATGACAAAAAATAAGTGATGATAAGCTGATGATGGCTCATCCTTAAAAAATGCTAAATAAATCCCATCCACTGTGCACGCAATGCTACGCAGCAAATATTGAGTTTTGCATTTCCGATGACATATTTTCGCCAGCCATCAATCAATCAATCAGTCGATCAATCAATCAATCAATCAAGTGAGTGTAAATGCGTATGCAAACAAAAGGATAATGCGAAATATGTACAGCAGGCGGCACATGTTTAAACCCTTTATATAGGGGCATTGTCTTTCTTTCAGTGCACTTTACTTTAGTGGCATGCTTGGAATGCCTGAAGTAGTCAATAATTTACATAAAGCCAACCCCACCCCCCGCCGAGTCGCGAGATCAACTCAAACTCAATCTGAGTCGTCTCAATTTCCATCTCAATCTCGAAAAGCTAAATCTCTCATTCGCTTAAAGAGCGACGAATGAAATGGAAGGGACAAGACGACGACGACTTGATGTCTCCGGGAATTGGTGGCATTATTTCCTCCCCATTCTTTGGCTGGCATACAAAATTCAATTAAATTTATCGTAATCATTTAACAATGGAGCAAATATTCGCTTTTGCAGTTCAACAAATTTATTGTTATTGTTGCGAGGTGTCCATTTACACCCGTTGTGTTTGTGTGCATAAGGTTATGCGGTTATTTATTTATTATTTTTTCCATTACTGCGTTGCCGCTGCTTTTCCCTCATTTTTTTTTCTCTCTCGATTAGTCAATGGGTTGTTGTTACTGTATTTAAATTGATTTATTTATTCATATTCATATTCATGTGCATCAACGCTGCGTATACGCAATGCGATTGGTAGTGGTACTGAAAAATGTCCGATATTGCGTTTGGAATATTAAAATAATTCTCAATAATTTATGCGCTTGCAGAAATACATTCATATTAGCTTTCAGCAATGTTTGACCTCCATCAATTTCATAACACTTTCATTACCTGCATCAACAAAAAAGAAAAGCAAGCCCCAAAATTGGTTACCAATCGAAAACGACTTGAACTAAAAAGTGTATGCTTTAATTAATTGAAATTTCCCGGGGTACAAATTGAGCTTTTGTACATTAAGTAAAAACAATGTTCACATGGTAAGCAATCAATAATCAATCACTCCCATGGAGCTGTCCGTTTTTCTGAAGTTATCTCACAATTAAAAGTTCGAGTGTGGGGAAATTGTCAGTTGGTCAATAGACGTGTATATGTATTTTTGACTGACACTTTTCTAGATGTTCACAAAAGTTTGCCCAATCCCACTCACGTAATTTGAAAATTGCACATGCAGCCAACTGAAAACGTGACAAACTTTCCAAAAAGAATAAGAGAAATTGTAAACAAAGAAAGATAATAAATTAAGAGTTTGATGGGGGGGGGAAACTATATTTAATGGAATTAGTTTTCAGCACAAAATCTAATTAAACTGATGGTTTTTCGTTTAGTCTTAACTTTACCTATCTGTAACTTACCAGCTAACGCACGTATTAGTTAAATATTTACGAACAAAAATGTACTTCTACAAATAAGACTTGGAAAATACCCTCACTCGACCATTTTTTTTTTAATCGGGGGATTGGGTGATACTTTCTTACATATAAAAAATATCCTCGCTGACGTCACATGAACTTTCTATAGAATACAAAATAATAAATAACTTTTGCACATCTCCACACAGACAGCGGGAAATATATGGAAAATAATTTTCATTCAGAACAGACAGACGCAAAACAATGACAAATATGCATGGAAATATAAGCGAGAGACGAGCGATGAATGAAATGAGACTGAAATGAGGAATGTACGAAATGAGAACGCCAGATGAAGGAGAAATGGAGTGGGTTTCGAGGGGAAATGAGGATGAAATCACCGAAAAGGCCGCAACGCAGCCACAATGGCGTCCAATATTCGTCTGCCGATTCTGGTCTATATGTTTTATAGATTCGGAGGATGGGGAAAATGGAGATTGTGATGGTGATGGCATTCAGTCATCATCATCATCATCTATATTCCCAGTATAAATTAATGGCCACGAAAAGGGCCACCGACAAGTGAAACTGCGTTTGCCAAATATTAGATATTGCCAAATAATTGATAATACAAATTTGTGTTTGAATTTACTACAATTTAAAGTGTCTAGCCAGACTATCTTGAATTGTTTAAAAATGTAAATGACATTTAGAGCTCAGCTATTGCTGCAGCTATAACTCAAAATAGTTATTAAGTAGAAAGGAAAGACAATTTAAAAACCAGCCTAAATATTGAACATAATGCCAGAGATCAGATGAAAATACCAAAAGGGGGAAAATATACACACATATAGAGGGATGTTGGCTCGAGGGGCTGAAAAACCTTTCGCACAGAGTTCGTTTACAATTGTTTTTAATTATGCGCATTGTTCGCCGTCCGTTGTTCATTATGCGGTTAGTTAATGTCATTTAGTTCATCAGCTTAATTTTTATCGCTGCCTTTTTTTTATTTGCAGTCATTTCCCCCCACCCCCTTGAACGTTCAGCTTTTCTTGTTTCCAATCCGAATATTGGGTTTTCACTTATTTATTTCGTTGCTTTTATGCTGGCAATGAAATCCAAATGTACAATATGCATATATATACATATATGCTATTAAAGACAGGAGAAAAGACTGACCGCCTCTCGACTTTTGCCACCATAAATCACAACAGATCGCCACTGAACAGTGGAGCAAATAACACAAGGTATGCTCAAATTTGACTTAGTAGATTGGAATATACATTGGAACCCTGTGTATAATTATGTCCGCGTTTTTAAAGCCCCTACTTGCAGTGTTAGAATATGAATAATCTAAATAAAAATGTGAAATATAATAATAAATTTCTTTTATAAAGTAACCCGAAAACTTAAGTCAAAAGTAACATTTTCATCAAACCTAGTTGCCCTGGTGTTTTAAGTGTAGTTTTCATCGTATAACGACAACGCAGTTTCGTTCCGATTTTTTAGAGAGCACACGTTCTAGAGAGCACACATGAGAATTTTGGTTGAAAAAAAAATCTGTATAGTTTTTGATCCTTTTAATTGAAATAATCAGGTGAGTTTTTTCGGAATCTACAATCGTTATCATTACAAATTCTACATACACAATTCATGGGCAGTTTTCTGGCGCTATGGTGGAGAAAAAGAAATCGCTTCAACTGCTGCGAATGGTGCGATCTTCCTGGACGATCATCTATAACGATCACTTCTGTTGGACCTTTATCAAGAGCTACGGACTCTTCGCATTGGCCATCCCGCTTGCCAAGTTCTTTGATGGCTTCCAAATATTTCCCACCAATGGCGTCTAATGTTCTAATGTTTTTGGTTTGCAAGCGGTTTTGATTTGTGCCTAATGTGCGTAAATTAATTGTCTATTGATTGAAGCAGATCGTTAAATTGTATCAGTGTGTTTGCCTTGTTATGGCCATGATAAGATTATAAATCGACTTCATGAGAATTGTTTTTTTCCCTCCGATTCTGGATTTGTTATCACAGGCCTACTTGAATGTTGTTCATAGTTTTAGATGTTATAAACGCACATCAATGCAATAAATCAGAAATTCAATATTCTTAAGAAATGTCATAAATTTTTAAACAAGTTGAGCCCACTATTATAGGAAACTTTAAGATATTTTTAAAATGCTTAAAAAAAAAACGCTCGGGAATTCACAAATGTATTGTTATAAATAATACATTTCAAGTGAAGAAATATAGAAAATATAGTTATTTGAACAACAAATAGCAAATGATATAAAATTTTAATTTATGTAATTTGAAAGATAATTGTTAAAAATGATTTTAAACAAGAAAGGAAAGCTAACTTCGGGCGGAGCCGAAGTTGATATACCCTTGCAGAATACTCTGTAAATTATATTCTCCAAAATTATTCATATGATGCATTCTTAATACTCATAAAAAATCCCAACTTCCTAACTTTAAAAACACCAAAGTTATGACATTTCCAATCGTTCAGTTATATGTCAGCTATAGGATATAATCGGCCGATCCTTATGAAATTTGGTAGGTCGGACTGGCTAAATATAACACCCATAGAAAATGCCGACTTCCTAACTTTACAAACACCAAAGTTATGGCATTTCCGATCAATCAGTTATATGGCAGCTATAGGATATAGTCGGCCGATCCTTATGAAATGGCATGTCGGATTGATTAGCCAAATATAAAACCCATAGAAAATCCCAACATTCTAACTTTACAAACACCAAAGTTATGGCATTTCCGATCAATCAGTTATATGGAAGCTATAGGATATAGTCGGCCGATCCTCATGAAATTCGGCATGTCGGATTGATTAGCCAAATACAAAACCCATAGAAAATCCCAACTTCCTAACTTTACAAACACCAAAATTATGGCATTTCCGATCGTTCAGTTATATGGCAGCTATAGGATATAGTCGGCCGATCCCGGCCGTTCCGACTTATATACTGCGTGCAAAGGAAAGAAGGGTGTGTGCAAAGTTTCAATTCGATATCTTTAAAACTGAGAGACTAGTTCGCGTAGAAACAGACAGACGGACAGACAGACGGACAGACAGACGGACAGACGGACAGACGGACAGACGGACATGGCTATATCAACTCAGGAGGTGATCCTGATCAAGAATATATATACTTTATAGGGTCGGAGATGTCTCCTTCACTGCGTTGCACACTTTTGACCAAAATTATAATACCCTCTGCAAGGGTATAAAAATGGATCGACGACAGACTCAAATAATATTTAACAAGAAAGGAAAGCTAACTTCGGACGGAGCCGAAGTTGATATACCCTTGCAGAATATTCTGTAAATTATATTCTTCAAAATTATTCATATATTCATATATTCTTAATACTCATAAAAAGTCCTAACTTCCTAACTTTAAAAACACCAAAGTTATGGCATTTCCAATCGTTCAGTTATATGGCAGCTATAGGATATAGTCGGCCGATCCTTATGAAATTTGGTAGGTCGGATTGATTGGCCAAAAATAAAACCCATAGAAAATCCCAACTTGATAACTTTACAAACACCAAAGTTATGGCATTTCCGATCAATCAATTATATGGCGGCTATAGGATATAGTCGTCCGATCCTTATGAAATTCGGTAGGTCGGATTAATTGGCCAAAAATAAAACTCATAGAAAATCCCAACTTCCTAACTTTAAAAACAACAAAGTTATGGCATTTCCGATCGTTCAGTTATATGGCAGCTATATGATATAGTGGCCCGATCCGGCTCGTTCCGACTTATATACTACCTGCAATAGAAAGATAACTTTTGGGAAAGTTTCAAGCAGATAGCTTTAAAACTGAGGGACTAGTTTGCGTAGAAACGGACGGACGGACAGACGGACAGACGGACGGACAGACGGACAGACGGACAGACGGACGGACAGACGGACATGGCTAGATCGACTCTCCTGGTGATGCTGATCAAGAATATATATACTTTATAGGGTCGGAAATGTCTCCTTCACTGCGTTGCAAACTTTTGACTGAAATTATAATACCCTCTGCAAGGGTATAAAAATATATTGGAAAAAACACTAGATTTTGTCTGTAGATGTCAAAATGTTGTAAACTTGTGTGTTATTTTTTTGTTGTTTTTTTCCGAAATCCGAAAATCCGATAATCTGCTGTAATTGCTATCGTGTGTGACGTCAATTGCCGTTGGCCGTTTGCCGTTCGCCAAGGTGAGCTCATTTATTTTGTTGACTTACCGCTTGAACAGATGATGTTGCTGCTGCTGCTGCTGGTAGAGATGTTGCTGCTGTTGCTGTTGTTGTTGCTGCTGCTGCTGATGTTGCCGCAGTCCATGTGCCATGTCCCCGAAATCGATGCTGCTGCTGCCGCCAGTCAGCGCCGGATGACGATGTTGCTGCTGCTGCTGTTGCTGCTGCTGTTGTGGGTAGAACTGGTGACTCAGGATGGTGATGCCTCCGCTGGCCGTGCTGGTAATGCTGCCCGATCGACTGCCTCCGTGCAGGGATGGTGCATGATGGGAGTTGGGATGCGAGTGCGATTGCGTTTGCGAATGCGAATGCGAATGCGGCGATCCTGACGGCGATGATGTGGTCACGGCTGCAACAGCGGGATATGAGATCAACTGTTGCTGCTGATGTTGCTGCGGTGGCGCTGCAACTGCTGCTGCTGCTGTTGCTGCTGGAAATGTGGTCTTGTGGGAGCCGTTGGCCAGCAGCGAGGGCGAGTGCGTCGACATGGTCAGGCGATTCGACTCTGGCGTGTGGGCAATGCTTGTATAGTGCTGCGAAAAAACAACAACAAAAAACGGGGAAAAACAAGTTAGAGATGATAGCATAATATAACAAAATTAACAGTGGGTGTAATTTAATAATAGTCACATTCTCAAGTACCAGTTTTAAAGCAAACAAAGCTTTCTTTTAAATCAATGTGATCTTATCACAATTACCAACTCAAATAACATTGTAAATAAACTTGCACCTATTCCTAATTAAATTACTTCCTTCAGTATTAATGAACTTTTCATGAATGGCTTAAACAATTACTTTTTTGAAATGGATCACCAATCACTCCATTAAAAAACTGGTTAAGGGAAAATGCATTGATTTCGCAGAAAGCAATCCTTTGTTTATCGTTTATTGCCAGATTTGTTTGAAAATTAACTTCCTTACAAAGCGGTTCACTGTTTGTTTATCTTTTGTGAAATAACAATAACTTTGCCTGCCGTTCTTTATGCGATAAGTAAAATATCAATTGCAACTCAATTTAACATGATATAATAAATATTTATAGATTTATCAATTTTCTCAATTTCTGAATTGTATTTAAAAACTTTACTTCAGTAATACCGACGAATTATTGTACGTGAAAATATCTGGAGATTCCAAATACCTGTGATCCTTTAAAGTATCAATTTCTAATAATAATCCTTTTTAAAGTTCTTTGTTGATTAATCCTCTCTGTATGATAAGGCAATCTTTTACACGAACTAAGCTCTCATTTCATTTAATGGTATCGAACAACTAACAGCGCAAATAGAAGTTCGAAATGTATCTACATGCACATCTATCTAAAGCACCTTTATGTTACACAAGCCAAAAAGAAAACCTAAGTCTTGGGTTTAGCCAAGATCTTCCACCGGTTGTGGAGAACCTTCTTTGGAGGGGGGAAACTTACCATCTGCAGGACATCGCACTCCTTGGGCACCACGTGCAGCGTGAGGACCGCCGGCGTCTGCTTGATCATCGAGACGATGGTGCTGTAGGCGATGCCAGCGATCGGCTGGTTGTTGACCATCAGCACGCGGTCGCCCGTCTGCAGGTTGGCGTAGTGGGCCGGTCCGTTCGCCTGCACCTCTTTGATGAAAATGGTCTCCATCGCTTTCACTTGGTACGGCGGCAGCGACGTCGGCGACGTTGGCTCCAAACCGGTGATCCCGGCAACGGCGACGCTGACGCTGCTGCTGCTGCCGCTGCTGCTGCCGGCCATACTAGAGGCTTCCTACACACCAAACGAAGCCGAAACAAAAAAAATATTTAGTCACATGTACGATTGTGGTGAGCAGACTATGGAGCTCCCACTAAAAACTATATTAAAGATGTACTGCAAATTGTTATATCTAATTTTCCACTGAATCCGCCTAAGAAACATAATAAAAAACAAAAGTTTATATTGGCTAATCCTAATTTCCTCTTAAAGTAACTAAAGTTTGTGGTGAACAAATCAGCAAAAAGTTTTGAATAAATATATAAAAACGAAAATATATTTATAAAACAAATACAAAATACATTTAGAAATATTAAAATTATTAACATAATTATCTAAACAGAAAACATCGCAGATATATACATGAAGAAACCGCAAAGTACTAATTATCTGAGCGCGACTGTGGGTCGTGAAGCAACAACATTTTGCGAGGAGAGTGTAGATTGGATTAAGTCGCCGTGCGAGCGACAAGGAGAGAGCGGGAAGAGAGTGCGCGAGAGTGAGAGCGGCGAGCGGAGGTTGTAATATCAACAAAAATAAAACGGGCACAAAAAAGTGAAGTGAGCCAAACGCAAATTAGTGCAAAAATAAAAATAAAAGAGAAAGAGAAGGGAGGTTCTACAGACAGTTTAATACTCTTACATAATACAAGTCAAAATGTTTATCACTCATACGTAGTGGTTGTTCGGTTCATATATTGTTCATTCGCATAGTGGTCTTCCTTGATATTTTGTTTTTATGTATTATTTAAGTATTTTACTTTATTTATTTCAATAATTATTTTAATAAACGTTCTGATCTATTAATTTTGTTCCCATTATTGCATTTTAAAATATTAAAATGTAACATTTTTAAATATAACATAATAATATATTCCCAATAATTATGTACTAAAGTTTACAGATTTTATTATCATTAAAAAATGGGACCATATATTTTATATTTAGCATACTCATGTTTGGTCATATATTGAAACGCTAATGATTTAAAAATTATTTTTTAACTTGACCAGATACACATACAAAAATTCTCTTGCTGAACTTTTGGGGCAGGGTATCTCCGTCGCACAAATGAAAAGCAAAAAGAAAGCAGAAAAAGCAAAAGCGGCAATTTGAATAAGTCGCGCGTGCGCAGCGCTCACGTAACGCCAAAACGCCAACGTCGACTGCGGCAGAGGCTCAGCAGAGAGAGAGAGAAAGAGAAAGAGAAAGAGCCGGAGAAAGAGGGAGACTCCGATGACTAATTGCTTGACTTCAAAAACTGCTTGACCGGTGCGCATGCGCAGCTCTCTCTTTTCCTCCTACTCACCCAGTCACTCTCGCTCTCTCACTTGCACTTCCTTTGCGATCAATTAACTCCCATTTGCACAGTGCAACATTTGAAAATAATTGACACTTAAACTTAAAAATTTTAAGTAATGAAAAATTTAACAAGGCTTAAATAAAGTTAATAATGTATCTTAAAAGAGTTATACATATAAAAAAAATTGAAGGAAATAAGATAAATAATATGGAATATAAAATAAGCTTTTTAAAATTATTATTATTTTTAATTTACACAACAAGAATATTTATTGAAAAATATTTCAAAATAAAAGGATTTACTTGAAACCAATTTACAATAAGAGGATAAACATTGATAGTATACAAAATTTTAATTAAATAAAAACCAATATTGTAAAATATATTGTTTTGATTTCAGAAAGAAATTAAATCTATAGAAATTTGTAACAAATTGGGGGAAACATCTGTCCTCATAAAATATCCGTATCATGAATCCTTTATTTATATAACCTAACATTATGTGCCCTTTTTTATTTACATGATTTACCCTCGATTCTGTATCCACTATCCTGTATCTTTTTTTATTATCTATTGTGCATATTGTGGGGACTAACCTGTGCCCAGTTGGCCGATGTCGATGCCGATCCTTGTGCCGCCGACGAGGATGCCTGGTCATCTTCCGGCGGATAGGCGATAAAGTGGCGCAGCGTGAAGCCGTATCCCTGGTTTGGCCGCCGTCGGATGACGATGAGCTTGGGCTGGATGGAGGAGGCCGCCAGTGCCGCGTTGTTGGCCGCTGCTGCTGCCGCCGCCGCCGCTGCTGCTGCCGCTGCCGCCGATGCCGCTGCTGCTGCCGCCGCTGCCGGAGTCGCCACCGCCGAGGCCGCCTGCGCTGCGGCAGCGGCGTTCGAGTTTTGTAACATTTTGTAGCGGGCTTCTAGTGGTTTTCCAGGCGGTTTTCAATGGGGGTTTTCAAAGGGGGTTTTCAGGGTTTTTACTTTTCGTATTTCGCCTTTTTTGTTTCAGCGCTCTATCTCTTTCGGTGGCTGGCTTTGTGGCTTGGTGGTTTCTGTTGTTATTGCCTTTTCTATTTGTCGTGCGGTTTGCTTTTTTTATTACAATGTTATTTTGTTTGTATTTGTTTTGTTTTTAAGGTGGTCAACCTGTTGGTGGCACCCTCATTTGTGTGGCGGTGGGTGGGGGTGGTGCTTCACCCCTGGTTTTCCTCTTCTATATATCGGCTATATCATAAGAGAGGATATATATCTGCAATTTAGCGTTGCAATTCAATTATTCGGTATTTTCCCTTACAGCCTGCGATATGTTGCAAATTTTCGATGTGGCTGCGGCACAAGGCCCATCGTACCGATCGATATTACCATAGTACTACTACTACTTCTTTTGGCTGATCACACATCGTTCGATGAATAAATGGAAATCATCTGCAAAAGAAGTTAAATAAGTATACATTAAAAAAATAATTCAGATAAATTACAATTGCAATAAACTTAGTTTTACACAATCAATCATTAATGCTAAATTTAGAAAATGTCTTACATATTATGTTTGTAAAACAAAACACAAAATTTCCCCAGAAAACACCCTTTAATCAAATGTGGCTTTAACCATCAAATGTTTTTGGCATTGGCTCGCTCTTAACCCCATTGTTTTAGCTTTCGGAGGAACCGAGAAGGGTTAAAATGCGACGAGGCGTGTTACACTTTTCAGACTTCTCATTTGACGGTCAATGTCCAACACACAAACGCCATATAGTTAAATCTGTTTTCGGCTTTTTACTGTATTTTTTATGCATTGTAATTAAAGCCGAAAAAGGTTTTTGTTTTGTTTTCCTCGCTTTTTGTGTCTTCGAAGCCTTTGTTTTTTTTTTTTTCAGTTTGACTGGCAGTAAAAAGCACTTAACTAACTGTAACTGGACATATGCGATGACTATGCGCCGATCATAATAATCAACACTATGATGATGATATAATACCGTTTATTACACCTTTTTCTTGAAAAATAAAACTTACTCTGAGCAAACTAAAACTAAGAAAGGTATTAAAAATGAAAACCCTTTTCAATGGGGGTTAACGCCCCTTTTTATTACGTTTTTCTTTACTTTATGTTGTTTGCTCAAAAAGTTATTGCATTGAAGGTGGGACAATCAATAAAAGTTATTGTTCGTTTAAAATTCCAATTGAAAAGTTTTGGGGGCGGGCTAAACAAAGGCACTAAATAAGTGATTATTGTGGCTAGTAGTAAACTGCGTAGTTCATTTGCTAATTTTTTGATGTTTATTAATTTTTAAGATTAATTAAATGAAAAACCCTTTTTTTATCTGCTTTAATTACTACGCAGTTTCATTTGATTAAAGCTGTTCTAGCCTAATGCAATTATAAAATTCTATTATAATTTCATCTCTCGAGTTCAACTTCCTAATTAGCTGTGAATTCAAAGAGTTCGAATGTGGATGCCCCCTGCGATTTGGTTATTGTTTTGTGAACAAATGGAAACCCGTGGAGTTGAGTTTAATTACTCAAGCGATAAGGTCAAAGATCAAAGACCCAAAGTAAAATGTCCCTGAATAATCAAAGGATTAATAGGCTTTATGATTTGCAGTATATGTATATTTTATTGTGATTAATTTTTTGTTTTGTTTGCCAACTTTATCTCATTGAACTTAATTAAACAACATAAAGAAGGCAACAACGACAGCCGCAATAATAATTTGAGCCAAAACACATGTAATTACCCGCAAACAGATAGACAGACAAAAACAGATTGTTCAGATACAAGTAGTCTCTATAATTGCCCCATTGTAATTGCATTGTCAAAGTAGTTTCTTTTCGCAAAGCGGGGGTAACTGAAGTGTGTCAAGTCACTCAAGGCGATAGACACAGAGATAAACCGATTCGGACAAAGATTACTGAAAATGTGTTAAATTTTGATTGCAAATTGTAAAACAAAAAAAAAACAAACTGAAATGAAGGATTGTAAAACACTCTGTTTAGCTACTGTTAGAGACCTTGGCCAGTCCGTCATTTATATTGAAAAACATCATATAACGACCTATATCAACTTATCAGCAGTCTTACCGATAATCCAGTTGAAGGCTAGCTAGGGCGATAGGTAAAACATAAAGATATTTTTTAACTATAAATAACTGATGGTTGCGCAGTGGAAAATTTTTCTCAACCAAATATATTAGGTGTTAAATATTGAACAGAATATAATTTTTATATTATACAATTTAATTTTGCTTTCGTTAATTACATTCCACTACCTATATATATATATCCCCATCACATCATCTTGTTTCGTTTTGTTGATTGTTTTATTTTTGTTTTTTGATCGACTGGTGACCGCCTCCAAAAAAAAAATGTACTTTGATTGATGTAATTCTGAGGCTTGTTCTTTTTTCTTGGCGTTGTTCAACAGCGTTTTAATACTTTTACCGCTGCTTGGCTCATTACACGCATGTTCTGTCTTTAATCTTGATTTTTTTTATTATTTTACTTGCCACGATTCGATTTTGGTTTTTTATCTTCCTCGTTTCACTGTATTTTACCCGCTTTTCTTGTGTTACATTCGATTTCGATTCTCGACCGCTTGTAGTGCAAAACAATCAAGTTAATTGTTATCACACGAAGCCAAGTAAAAGGCCCCAACAAATTGTTAAGTATAGTCAATAAAAAGCTGGGAACGTAGTCTTTTTATACCCTTGCAGAGGGTATTATAATTTTGGTCAAAAGTGTGCAACGCAGTGAAGGAGACATCTCCGACCCTATAAAGTATATATATTCTTGATCAGGATCACCTCCTGAGTTGATATAGCCATGTCCGTCTGTCCGTCTGTCCGTCTGTCCGTCTGTCCGTCTGTCCGTCTGTCTGTCCGTCTGTCTGTTTCTACGCGAACTAGTCTCTCAGTTTTAAAGATATCGAATTCAAACTTTGCACACACCCTTCTTTCCTTTGCACGCAGTATATAAGTCGGAACGGCCGGGATCGGCCGACTATATACTATAGCTGCCATATAACTGATTAATCGGAAATGCCATAACTCTGCTGTTTGTTAAGTTAGGAAGTTGGGACTTTCTATGGGTTTTATATTTGGCCAATCAGTACGACGTACCAAATTTCATAAGGATCGGCCGACTATATCCTATAGCTGCTATATAACTGATTGATCGGAAATGCCATAACTTTGGTGTTTGTTAAGTTAGAAAGTTGGGATTTTCTATGGGTCTTATTTTTGGCCAATTAATCCGACCTACCAAATTTCATAAGGACTGGCCGACTATATCTTATAGCTGCCATATAACTGATTGATCGGGAATGCCATAACTTTGGTGTTTGTTAAGTTAGGAAGTTGGGACTTTATATGGGTTTTATTTTTGCCCAACCAAGCAGACATATCAAATTTCAAAGGGATCGGCCGACTATATTCTATAGCTGCCATATAACTGAACGATTGGAAATGCCATAACTTTGGTGTTTTTAAAGTTAGGAAGTTGGGATTTTTTATGAGTATTAAGAATGCATCATATGAATAATTTTGGAGAATATAATTTGCAGAATATTCTGCAAGGGTATTTCAACTTCGGCTCCGCCCGAAGTTAGCTTTCCTTTCTTGTTTTTGTCGTGATATCATCTTTTTTACTCTGATATATTTATACCCTTGCAGAGGGTATTATAATTTCAGTCAAAAGTTTGCAACGCAGTGAAGGAGACATTTCCGACCCTATAAAGTATATATATTCTTGATCAGCATCACCAGGAGAGTCGATCTAGCCATGTCCGTCTGTCCGTCTGTCCGTCCGTCTGTCCGTCCGTCTGTCCGTCTGTCCGTCTGTCCGTCCGTTTCTACGCAAACTAGTCCCTCAGTTTTAAAGCTATCTGCTTGAAACTTTCCCAAAAGTTGTATTTCTATTGCAGGTAGTATATAAGTCGGAACGAGCCGGATCGGGCCACTATATCATATAGCTGCCATATAACTGAACGATCGGAAAAGCCATAACTTTGGTGTTTTTAAAGTTAGGAAGTTGGGATTTTCTATGGGTTTTATTTTTGGCTAATCAATCCGACCTACCAAATTTCATAAGGATCGGACGACTATATCCTATAGCCGCCATATAACTGATTGATCGGAAAAGCCATAACTTTGGTGTTTTTAAAGTTAGGAAGTTGGGATTTTCTATGGGTTTTATTTTTGGCTAATCAATCCGACCTACCAAATTTCATAAGGATCGGCCGACTATATCTTATAGCTGCCATATAACTGAACGATTGGAAATGACATAACTTTGGTGTTTTTAAAGTTAGGAAGTTGGGACATTTTATGATTATTAAGAATACATCATATGAATAATTTTGGACAATATAATTTATAAAATATTCTGCAAGGGTATATCAACTTCGGCTCCGCCCGAAGTTAGCTTTCCTTTCTTGTTTTCTTTTATTGTTATCGGGTAGCGGGAATAAGTTCATACAAAGGAGGGTGAAAAGTTTGCTAGTATTTTTTATTAGCCTAAAGCTTGTTAAGTTTATTGATACGATTTATTCGTTTTAAATTAATTGTTCTTTATTTTCGCTCAATATTTTATTAATTGTCTTTTTAATGAAGTTCTTAAGATTCAACACTTTTTTTTAATAAACACTTTACTGAGCTTCTGTTGAAGCAACTGAAGCAAAAAATTGGCTGGCGCTTCTTAAGTAGTTCATTAATGAAAACAAACTTTGACTAATTCCCAGAAATCCAGATAAGTTTAGGGCAAGCAATACAAGTATAAACTCTAGTAAATATAGGTAATAATTGTGTAAACAAAATATTTGTGACTGTGGACTTATCACGAATTAGAAACAAAGTCGCGTAATAAATAAATACGTTTATACAAATATAACTAGATATAATTTTTGGGAAAAGATGGTATAATCTACAGGTAAAACTATTTGTTGATATTTAACTATGGAAGACTTTGTTTTAATGGTTTTTTAAACATTAGTTTTTCACTAGTGTTTTTCTATTTTTAAATTAACCTAATCAAGAGTATTAATATTTACAACTTATTGACAAAATTATTTAGGGTTTCACAATTAAGATATTATAAAATCAGTTTGTTTTCTCTTTACTCACAATTTTTCCATTATCTCTATTTTTGTTTATAGTGTTCACCTGCCATTACAATTTTTTGGGCGATAGCCATTCCCATTCCATATCTGTCCACAGATAAAGGCAAAAAAAATATATAGAGAGACACATAATATATGTGTGCACATATATATAGCTATATATGATAACCGATAAATTGCTTGCTCGTATGCCCAACTTGGAATCGATAAACAAAAAACGAGGCAGAAACCGAGAAAGACACACGCGGGGGCATCCAATTACGTGCAATTACATTTATAAAATTTCTTCGCTTTTTTCTCGCTCTCCGTTAAA